AAAATATTCAACCGTGCAGCTCCAACCAATTACCTTGAGAATTCCTCGAATGTGCATCTTTGCAATCATTTCCGACGTGAAAAGAATGGAAACAGCAGAATCAACGCTTATAGTAGCAGTTTGCATGAAGGGGAAAAGTTCAAAGGTTCTCGGGGTGTTGCTGCACACAGATGCTAAACTAAGAAGGGCGCAGCTTCGCAATATCCGGCGTACCCATCTCTATCAAAACAAGTAAGTATGCATTCCGTGTATCTCTCAGGAAAATTATCGGCAGAAATGATTGTGCTTACTTTATTGACCCACTCTATATCCGCGCTTTCATTGAAAGCTTCATCGGGGCCGTAATCAGCCAAAACAGGTTCTCCCTTAAGGCTCTGCTTACGGCCCAGCATCATTTTAAGGCGTTCCGTGATTATTTTAGTGGAAATCTTGTCTAAAAATATTTTGTAATATTTATTTCAATCTTTTCAGCCTGCACTTGGAACCGATACTCACGCTATTTTTCCGAACCCTTGCAAAATTCCGAACAAACCAAATCAGCCTTGTTTTTCACAAATCTAGGTAGCCAGAGCTTCACCCAGATGTATAACACCATACTTTAGATCACGTAGCTGATTCGTAAGTACTTCACAAAGTTATATCGCATTATTTAAGCGAGATTTGCACATGGCGACTTGCTCCAGAAATCGGAGCTTTCCAGATAATGCTCCAGATGATGTAAAACTTCACAGCGAGAGAAAATCGATACGTTTAAGCGCGCATTGCCAAACGTGTTAAAATGCCCTTTGCATTCGCAGCAAGGCAAACCTACAAGCGAATTTAATTGCCGATTCTTCCCTTCGATCTCTTCTTTCTTGATTATAAGATTTCTCAACATACTTTATACTGACGACAAAAATCGACACTTTACGAATTGTTAAATGAAACAAACTTTTCAACGATCCGTATAATATCATTATCTAATAGGGGCTATAACAATGTTTAGTTTCAGCTGATCTCGACTAGGTCCAACGAGGTAGGGAGTTTCGTGAACAGGCTGCAGCGAAACTGGGGTGTTGAGCTCCTGGAACGGAATCAGATCATCGATGTTCAACAATTTATCCTGCGGCGAAAAATGATGGACGCGTTCTATAACCTCCATAACGTGTTCTACGCCGCCTTGGACTCCATATATTAGAACCGAAACTTTAACGCGCATCTCTGGTTCAGGCGACTCTCGGCAGATTAAGGAGAAGCGGACAGTCTTTCGAATTTCCTCAGGAACTTCCAAGGTGCCTAGATATGAGTGAAGCGTTCTTTGGAGCATAAACTATATCGACCAACGTGTTACGTTACCTTGCCATACAATCAAGTAACACTTCTTAAATTGGACTCCCTTCGGATACAGTTCCACCACCCAGTCACTGATCTTTTGGGACTCATGCTCAGCGGCAGATAGGTGGGAAGAAAACACAAAAGTGCTGATGTGGTAACTTTGCAAGTCCCAAAATTTCTCTATGCTCAAAGCTGCTGAGCAGCTGTCCGATGTGTACAATCGAGGAGTGAATAAGTGACCCTCGTTTAAGTAATATGGCTCCAATTGCTCAGTGTATCCTACGAAGGAGCATTGAACGATTTTCTGAAAAACGGCAACAGTCTACTTGAACTATGATTTACCTGAGTGAAATTTCATGCCAATGGCCATCCGCTCAACAAAAAACTCCTTATGTTCTTTAATCAATGAAGACATAAGAAGTTCCGCCAATTCACGGGGAGACATCATCGGAAATCGGATATGCATCATTACACCCTCCACCAAGCCAGCGTACGTTTGTGTGGTGCCATTCAGTTTAGCCTTTTGCATTTCAAGCCACCTAAAAACGTCCTTTTCGCCTCAAATCTTTTACTCCGTAATTAGATGTTCACCTAACGACGCAATTGTACAGCATCATCTCGTTGTGCACAACTACATCGTCCGACTTTATCACCATAACGAAGGTATCACAGTCAAAGTTGGTGTAATCAGAGGTGCTGGCCACCGTTTCGAAGTTCCATTTAAAAAAATTTCGACAACTGGACAGGATTCTTTGATGATCACAAATGCTGCTGTACTGCAACCAGGAGGAGAGTTGGTTGTGGTAGGCGGCATGTGGAACGTGACGACACATATACATAATACAGATGCGTGTTAGGCTCTGGAAACGGCATTTAGTACATTTATTTTCTTGATAGGTCACCCTGGATCGATTACCTACCTTCACAAGGTACTTGTCGGCAAGGGCCAGAATTGGCATAACGTTTGTGTGAGTAATGTGAATTTTTCCGGTATAAAAGTATTCCAAGAACGTGTAGAACACACTCTCGCAAATGGGTAATTCTTGTAGTTCTATGTGGGTTTCCTTCCATTCCGACCAAGCGGAGTTCATAAGCATTGCCTAATTTGAAACGATTGACTGATTATAGCACGGTTTACATCGGGCATAGCTGGCTTGAAACGTACTTGAAATACATCACTGGTGGCACACAAAATGAATCGATGAGCTCCAAACTGTTTGCTCCCAACTTTCAGATATATATCGCACATACTTTGGTCTTGCCATAGCTTCTTCAGTACTTTGAGAATATTCTCCGAGTTATCTATCTAAGGAAAGGAAGAAGGTTGTGTTTCTCAACTACACGACTGGTCGTATTTACGATTGCTATAGCTTCGATTTCGCATTTCCGAAACTCACTGTGATTTGGCAGTTGTCACTGTAATCGTCATCAGATGAAGAGGAGCAGACACTCCGATGCTCCAGTGCAGGTCTTTCGCCGATAATGTACATGTTTTCGTCTTCGAAAAACATTGCCAACAATGACTACGATGACAAAATCCAGAATTAGGTACTTTGAACAAGGGCAAATGGATCGACATTTATGAAACTTGGTTTTATCATTTTTGTTTGTAAAAGTCAGCTAAGTACCTACTGCTACTTTACTTTTTCTTTTGCTGAGTTCTTTGGTACTTTTGTATCAAAAAGTTTTGGCATATATATCAATATTTACATTTGTATATCGGATTAGGGTTAAGTTGTCTTCATCTATGGTTGAATGTCAGATTTGCTCTCTTCTCTCACTCCAACAGGAGACTGTACAAGTAACATTCACAGAACATACCCCCATAGGGGGGATATTTTGTGGTAACATTACTGATTATTTTGTAGGTATACTTGCTGCTCAAATAAAATTAAAAAGAAGACGATTATTTAAAATGTTCCCGATACTGATTGACTGACGTGTATTTCAAATTGACAAACATCAGAAATCAGAACAGCAACATTTCGAGCCGGTTTGTTAATGACCCACTAAAGATGAATTATTATCTTTGTCCCTATCGCAACTTAAGTTTTGCTTTTTTACTCCTATGCACATACGTTGCAGCTGTGCAAAAGCCGGAACTGCCCAAAGTGCGAGGAATCTCCACTTCTAGAGTCGGCTTCTACGATCCAGAGCTAGGCTTTACTTGCCTAGATGGGAGCAAGACCATACCATTCACCCAGGTACTAATTTGTTAGACCACACGACGTCTTATTTTTAGGCCGTGCAAATTGCATCTGGAACGTCGAACTATTTCATGTTAAGCCATTTATTTGCAACACTTATCTATCACCACTTGAAAATAGCACGCGCTGCCTAAAAGTAGCTGTACATCAAGAATGTTTCGACCGTGTCTTGTTGGAAGCCAATATTTACTGAAATTAACAATCTCCATGTCGTTTGCGAGGCAAATTGCAATTAATGACATAAGCATTTAACACATTTTATTAAGTATTTCAATCGTGGATTTTATGCTATCTGCAGGTAAATGATGATTACTGTGATTGCTCGGATGGAAGTGACGAACCAGGAACCAGTGCATGTCCACATGGAAGTTTCTACTGTTTTAATGTCGGTCACAAACCGCAAGTTATACCATCCTACAGGTAATCATCTTCATTCACATGCAAACGATTGCACTTTAATACTTTAAATATGTCAGGGTGAATGATGGTATCTGTGATTGTTGCGACGGCAGCGATGAATATTTCGAAGATCATAACTGTACTAATGATTGTCTCCGCATGGGAAAAGAAGCCAGAGAAAATGCAGCAAGGTGGGCTGTATTGTTCAACGCGGGTGAGTGTCCAAAGCAGCTATTTAAAGCCACCCATTTTTGATAAGTCGTCTTTTTCAGATGGTAAACACAAAAAATATATAACGTATTTTTTCGGTTCTGTGGCAAGTCTGAAAGAGATAAGTTTTCCGTAACGTCGTTTGATGTTGAGTTATTCATGCTAACCTGATTTTATTAATTTGAAAATGCTTGTTTCTCAGCTTCCTGATAATATTGAAATGAATTAAGATTTTCACAGTTCAACAGAAAAGTTAAAAATTACCTCAATCTTACAAAATCACAATAGCTGACAAATTATCATGTCTCCTTCACACTAATATGATTCCATACCCTACCTTCTCGATAATGGAACCTACTACATTTATCCACTGGCTTGTAGCGTTATTAATTTTCGAAGCTTTACCTCATTCGTTTTTCATTATTTAGGCAAGCAATTGAGAGCAGATTTGAGTCAGGAAGGACAGAAAATTAAAAATGAAAAACAACAGAAATTGAACAAGTTGCGCATCAATCAAGAGGAAGCGGAGAAAATCAAAGCTGAACGCGAACAAATAAAAATTCAAGCAGAAGAGGCGGAAAACAAAGCTTTGGAGTACTACAGAGAGTTAGAAGAGGAGCATAAGAAAAAGGTGACGAAGCCGAACTGCATATTTCCGACTTATTTATTGCTGAAACACCATTTCCTATGTAATTGTTTTAGAAAGAAGAGTTGGAAGCCGAACGCAGCACAGAACAGGCATTAGAGTATTTTAAAAAACTGGACAGCAACGGAGATAATTTGATTGAGGTGGCGGAGATTCAAAGCAGACAGACGTTCGACCGAGATCGTAATGGAGAAGGTAGATTTAATTGTTCCTTCTGAACAGAAGTCTCATGTTCATTTTATTGTCGTGTTTTTCAGTATCAGCAGAAGAAGCAAAGCTATTTTTATCGAACCAGGAGTCGGTCGATCAGGAGACGTTCATCGAGCGGACATGGAAGCTGATGAAACCATTCGTAGAACGGGAATCTGGAATGTACCAATCTGCAGGAGAGGCAGAGAGTGTCCCAGAACACGAAGATTCTGAACAACCAGAGGACGAAGAAGAACATGAAGATGGTTTGTAAAATTTTACTTTATTGAAAAACTGAATTAATAGCTGAAATAAACTATATTTAGACGAGGAAGAAGAGGAACCTGAACAGTCAGTCGGAACTCAAGAACCGGAGAATGTTCCTTATGACGAGGAAACTACGAAGTTGGTTGAGACCGCCACCATTGCGCGAAATCAGTATTCGGGTATATCATATACACTACCAAATATGCGAGACTTAGTAAGTTCAGGTTGGCATTTTAGAGTCCGAAAAGGACGTCAGGACAATCACAGATGAGATTACACGGCTTGAAGACAGTCTAAAGAAAGACTTTGGTGTCGAGGAAGAATTTGCCAGTTTGGAAGGACAGTGCTTCGACTATCAAGACCACGAGTACATCTATAAGTTATGCCCTTTTGAGAAAACTCTGCAGATTCCCAAATCAAACTCAATGGAAACGAATTTGGGAAGGTACTTTTGCACTTTTTTTCCTCATCCAACACTGAGTAGTAACTTAGTACTTGTAATCCATAACCTTTAATGAGTGTAGTGTCCCTATATGGTAATTTAAATCGCTATGCCATAGGTGGTCTCGCTGGGATGGAGCCGAAAGCAATCTATATAGCAAAATGCTATACGAGAATGGGCAGAATTGCTGGAATGGTCCAAACAGGTCAACGAAAGTGTCGCTGTTTTGCGGAACGGAAAATAAAATTACAAGTGTGGCAGAACCCAATAGGTGGGTGATTCTTATGTGCATATTAGTTTATCTAACACGAGTTCGAATAGTTTACTTGGTTCTGATCTTTTGTACAGTCGTTCACCTTATGATGTGTCCATTTTAGGTGCGAATATGCATTCGAGTTTGAGACTCCAGCCGCTTGTTACGATCCCAGCAACCAGGAGAGTCAAAGTGATGTGCATGACGAATTATAGAAGGTATAATATGAGTTTAATGGGTATTCAATAAAACATTTTCCTGTGCTTTTAAGATTGGTAATTGGTCAGTAAGCATATCATGCCTCACATTTTTATTTATTTTGGGTGCTTCAACAAAAAAAATATTGTATCAATAACCAATTACGTAAATAAGTATAGAAATTAAACATTTGTGTATAAGCAGATATTGGAGAGCCAGCCAATTTTCTATTTTTATATATACGATTTTAGCGAAAGATGTTTAGGTAATTTTGGATGTAACGTAATTTTTTCAGTCTTTCGTTTTTATTACTTTTAATTGGTAGGGCATTTTTGTTTATTTATATGCACATTTCATACTGGCACACCAAGTCACACTACCTGAATATATTGTTTTTTGTTGGAAATTCGAACCAATCCGTTATTCTCACCAAAATGTGTGCGATTACCCTTTACATACTAATTACTGCTAAATGACTCCTGCATCTCCTGATCCTTTTGCAAAATAGACAGATAGAAAGCAACGAAGGAAGGGAGAAAAGAATATGTCGTGGCGAATAAAATTGACTTGTAATATTTACTGGTATATTTATAATTTTCTTGCTGCCCTTTACTATAATTATGTACCATGTAATACTCTCCCTTCAACATGCAATTCAGATAAACATGTATAGCCCGGTGTGCACAACGAACGTGAATCTACTAAGTAAAATCAATTTACAACATTTTAAATAAATACTTTACAACTAAGTGTAACAATAAATGTGTTTTATAATATACAAAAACACTTAATGATACCAACACAAACAAAGGTATGCATGAAAGTGTGAAGCCTGGGGCATTCAAACCAATGAATGTGATCACATAATGAATCAATGTCGCTAAGCAGCAGGTAAAACAAAACAAATAATTGTTTTCATCGACCCTTACGATTTTACTGCAAAAATGAATGCAACTGCATAACAGTAGCCCTATCCAACAGGCACAAATCGAAATCAAACGTGTGCGAGGACACCTCGAATTTGCCTGTATCAGCAATCAGCTGTACCACCCTTTGCAAGTCTGATTGGTCTTTGAGCCCCATGATTTTGGTCTGCAGCTCTCGCAACATACTCATGTAGGCCTCGGGCTAAAACAGTTCAGCATTGTACTGGGCCATGGAAATAGCAATATTGTACTCACGTCATCAGTGTACGCTACTGATTTAGAGTCTTCAGAGCTGGATACTTTCCGCTCATCATCGGAATCATCATTTGAAGGCGCTTCCTTTCTATGCAGTTTTATGGGTGGTTCCTCAATTTCAACCTAGAATTAGACATAGGGCAATGCATTTTCGATACGACATAGCGGGCACACGCAGAACTTTCAGCTAATCAAAAATGTTCACCTGAGTCTCAGCCTCCACTTTTCTTTTCCGTTTCCTCTCTTGATCCCTATCTGCCTTTTTGTCCTTCTTTCTCTCCTTTTTCTCCTTTTTGCTGACATCATCAAATCGCGGTTTCTTGCTCAGGTGCTCTTCCTGCGGCGATAACCTCGTAACTTCTAATGACGGCAGCGGAGAAGGAGACTAAAAATTAAGCAATGAAGTAATTTTCATTTCGCTATTGAAGTAATTTGGACGTACTCTTGGACATGGGCCAGCTTGAGTTGTGTCATTAGCAGGGCTGGGTTCTCTGCTACTTAGCTTTGACGTATTGGAGGAATCATCTTCCATGTGGGGTGATTTGTCAATTTCCAGATCAGGAGGAGCTGATCCAGGACTAGGCTCGCTCTTTGGACTACTACCGAAAAGATTATCTGCCTTCTCCCTAAAACACGCGAATATTTCAGGCGCCTGTTGCAATTCGATGATATTGATCAATCAGTACCTTTCTTTAGCAGACACCTCTTTTGTCTTTTTTTCCTCTTTTTCTTTCTTGTGAAGCTCTCTGTCTTTCTTTTCTTTGCGATCCTTGTCTTTTTTCTTATGCTTGTGTTTGGGTCTTTCTTTCTCTTTATCATCACTTTTTTCCTTATCTTTTGGTTTTGCTTCTTCAGATTTGTCTGCCTCCTTTGAATCTTTGTCCTTTATTTTCTCCTTTTTTTCGATCTAAAAACACCTGTTGTTAAACAATACTTGCGATACAATGATTCAATTAAATATACTTTGGGGGTTTGCATGTTCACAATTGGACTGATGTCTCGATCCTTTTCTTTATTAGAACTGGAAATACTGTTGTTGACATTATCTCGTTCCTTTTCCTTGCTGCTTTTCATTTCTCTGACTTTATAGTCCTTGCTATGATCCGCGATCGGTTTATCTCGGTCCTTCTCTTTATCTTTGTCCCGATGTTTTCCATCTTTTTCCTTGATCAAACAGTTAGTTATTAGTAAATAAATGTCGAACAAATCCTTCAATTTGCAGCGACATAAATGTATGCCCTTTTGTTTTCACTAACTAAACTTACTTTATGCTTTTTTGACTTCTTTTCTCTGTCTCTGTCGCGGTCCTTTGATTCCCGTGATTCTTTATCTTTCTCTTTTAGTTCCTTAACGCTGGTTTTGACGGGTGAAGGACTTCTTGGCCTTTTGGGCGATCTACAATTAATTAGGTAAAACCACAAACGCTACTAATTTAATATTTACTTACCGTTTTGGGCTGCTACTTTTTTGTCTGGCTGTTGGAGATTTGTCTCGATCCCTGTCCTTCCGCTCCTTTTTGTCCTTCTTGCTATATTCTCTATCTTTCTTGTCTCGTTTATCCTTCGACTTTCTATCAAAATTACTATTTTCAGTCTGTTTATCCTTATCTTTGGACCTTTCCCTATCTTTTTCCTTATCCTTATAAGGACTCTTCGTTTTACTCTTGTCTTTCTCTCCTGAGATTTTCTCTCCCTTGTCTTTGTCACTGTTCTTAACTTGTGGCTTTATCGAGGACTCCTTACTTTTGGGCAGCTCGGTAATTTTGCTAGATTTCGTAATTGGCGTCCCAAACAAATTGGTGAACTGATCACTCCTGGGCTCTTCGGGCTTCAGCTTATATTTCTTCGGTTGCTCCGAGCCGCTTAATCTGGGCTTACTCATCATTTGGGACTTGTCTTCCGGCTTAGGCAAGTGAACTGAAGATGAATTATCTGATGTCACTGGTGTACCTCCCAACTAAAACACATGTGTGGCTCGAACTGTAATTGAACACCAGGCAACTATATACCTACATACCACAGCTCCGCCTTTCAAAAGCTTATTTCGAAAATCCTCACTGACCGAATGAAAAGTATACTTTTCCTTCTGAACTTCATGAATCGGGGGCCCGCTGGGTTGCAGCTGCAGATCATAGTTGAATTGAATCTTCCTCGGTTCCTGATTGTTTTTCAGGTGAATTTGAATCGGCAAATTGAAGCCGGCATATCCGGACGTTCGTAAAGAGTATGGTGGCTCTTTTACCACTAGTGGACCAAACAAAATGGTTTTTCAGCTGAGTATTTAAGCTAACTATAACGAGCAGTTACATACCTCTCTTGGGCTTTTCGAAAGTTTCGTGCAAGAGGAATACGACCCTGTCCACGTAGTGTCGAATATCAGCTCCGTTGCAGCCTCGAACAAACACTTCCCAATCGTGGGTAAATCCCTCAGTAGTCGTCTTTTCCCTCAGAGCAGCATCGTGTCCTATTTCCAAGTTTATAGTGAGTGTCTGCATGATTCGTCTACACAATGCCCCGTGAATTCGCCATGAACATGCTGCTTTTTCGCTCTATTCATTTAGCTTCTAAACTACCTACTAAAGTGAGTTGAACTGTAACCTAAATATAACGCTTCTGCTCAAGCACACGCCGTAGTTAGCCCAAACTAATTGAAAGCAGTATCTGCACGATAGAAATGAATCACAGTTCGATTATCGGTTTACAATTAGTTTCAATGGACGCGAACTCACAAAAATCATAAAGTTATTATTTGTTTATAGTGAAATGTTATCAATTATCGTCACTTCGAGTGACAGTCAGTCATGTCACCTCACAATGTGACGGTCACATTGTCACATCAGGGCACAGATTATCAAACTATTGCATCACTCAGGGCCTGCTCACTGTCAAACTTCTTGAGTTCCGTGTTACGCGTACCCGCGCCTCTAGGAGCGCTGGTGTCGACAATGGCGTTTTGGTTCTGTTTGAAAATCCTACAGGACCAAGAAAATTAGTAGATGCCATTTAAAAAAAACTGATTTTTGGAATTTTTAATGATCAATTAACTCGAATAACATTTGAATTCGGCAGTTTAATCACCAGCCGGCATCGCTGGCGGCGCGACTGAATGCGCTTTGCCGAAATCGCGCGAGTTGCCAATCTAAATAGTTTGATAATCTGTGGCATCACTGCCCTCAATGTAGGTATACCGAGATTAATTTTGTTTTGTCACTAGCGGCACCTATTAACTTCATGCGATAACTAGTAGTAAAATCATATTCGCCATTATATGTACATTTGATTATCGTGTTTTATTTATTTTAATAAAAGATAAAACCTTTGCTAGAAAATGTCCTGCAGGTAAACAGCAAGTGAAAATGAACAGAGCAGAAGCAGAAGAAAATAATACTAATACCAGAACATCACGTTATATTAAGAATTATCACATCCATCCTGTACAAGGGCGGATTCAAGGGTGGGGGGGGGGCATGGGGGTCATGAGCCCTCATTCAATTCTCTATCCAAAACTGGAAGACTGCCAACATTTTCTTATCCATGGTTCACTTTCTAAAAAGGCCATTTATTTATCTCTAGAATGATGTACAAATGAGCGTTCTTGCTCATTTTGC